TACGCTTATTAAGTTTGCAGATGATACCAAGCTGGGAGGGGTTGTGACTAATCTTCAGGATAGAGTCATAATTCAAAATGACCTGGACAAATTGGAGAAATGGTCTGAGGTAAATAGGATGAAGTTTAATAAAGACAAATGCAAAGTGCTCCACTTAGGAAGGAACAATCAGTTTCATACATACAGAATGGGAAGAGACTGTCTGGGAAGGAGTACAGCAGAAAGGGATCTAGGGGTTATAGTGGACCACAAGTTGAATATGAGTCAGCGGTGTGATGCCGTTGCAAAGAAAGCAAACATGATTCTGAGTTACATTAACAGGTGTGTTGTGAGCAAGACACGACAAGTCATTCTTCCACTCTACTCTGCGCTGGTTAGGCCTCAGTTGGAGTATTGTGTTCAGTTCTGGGCACCGCATTTCAAGAAAGATGTGGAGAAATTGGAGTGGGTCCAGAGAAGAACAACGAGAATGATTAAAGGTCTAGAGAAGATTACCTATGAGGGAAAGCTGAAGGAATTAGTTTTGTTTAGTTTAGAAAAGAGAAGGTTGAGGGGGGGACATGATAGCTGTTTTCAGATATCTAAAAGGGTGTCATAAGGAGGAGGGAGAAAACTTGTTCATCTTGGCCTCTGAGGGTAGAACAAGAAGCAATGGGCTTAAACTGCAGCAAGGGAGGTTTAGGTTGGACATTAGGAAAAAGTTCCTAACTGTCAGGGTAGTCAAACACTGTAATAAATTGCTCAGGGAGGTTGTGGAATCTCTATCTGTGGAGATATTTATGAGTAGGTTAGATAAATGTCTATCAGCGATGGTCTAGACAGTATTTGTTCCTGCCATGAGGGCAGGAGACTGGACTTGATGACCTCTCTTCCAGTCCCTTCCAGTCCTAGTATTCTATGATTCTCTGATTCTCTCCATCCTCTTTGGAGCTCCTTTGCAGGTAGTTGAAAGCTATCAAATCTCCCCTCACTCTTCTCTAATGCAGACTTAATAAGCCCAGATCTCTCAAACTCTCCCCATAAACCATGAGACCCCTAATCATTTTTTTTTTGCCCTCCACCGAACTCTCTCCAATGCATCCACAAAGTTTCTGCAATGGGGAGCCCCAGAATTGGATACAATATTCCAGATGTGGTCTCACTAGTGCTGAATAAAGGGGAATAATCACTTCTCTAGATCTGATGGCAATGCTCTTCCTAATGCAGCCTAATATGCCATTAGCCTTCTTGGCTACAAGGACACACTGTAGACTCATATTCAGCTTCTCATCCACTGTAATCCGCTGTATTAGTTGATCATAATGGTCCCTTCTGGCTTTAAAATCTGAGTCTGTGTTGGAAAGTACACTAATTCAACAAATGGTTTGATCTGGAGGGGAACCAGAGTGTACCCCCTATGTTCAGTGGCTGTTGAAAATCCCTATAGCATACAATAAGTGCCTTTTTATTCTGTAATTTTATTTTTAAAATTAAACAAATACAATTATATATCAGGATCACAAATACGATAGCATTTTGCACATGCATGAAATACAGACAGTGGAAACATGAGAAAGTCAAACATATCAGCCTAGTCTCATCTCCCCAACTGAGTGAGAAACAGAAACAAGCACAAAGCATAGTGGGGAGAAGTGTGCTGTATGCTTAAAATAACTCATTTTAATAAATAGGTTTTTGGCAGGTAAGGAACTCTGAAAGGCACACTGCCCTTCACTATGTCTTTTCTCTCACTGAAAGTCACTCACCTAATCGAATGCATTCCAGGGATGCTTGGGCCCAGCTTTTCATAGCTGATGATTCAATGTAGTAGCAATGACCATGGAAAGGAACCCACGATCTGAATTCTTCTGATTCAGGGCAATTGCCAGGCAGCTGTGGAGGGTCAGGAGGAGCCACAACTGGGAAGAAACCATGTGGTTTGAAATCAGTACTTTCTTTTTATGAATAACCCAAAATTAGTCTTAAAATTACGCAGCATGCACATCTAGCATGCTGTAAGTAACTACCGCTCACCAAGAATAATGCTAGGAAAATGCTGCCTGTCCCTGCTATAGTCATAGCTAAATATATTGGTATCTATCCGGAATGTCCCTTTTCACTTTATTACCTTGAGCTAATGCTGCAACAACATACTGTATTATTGCTTGTGCTCTGTATTTAGTCACATTAGGCACTGGTTATCAGAATACCGTATACTGAATATAGCTCTTAATCATGTATGCTACTCCTGATGATGTCGTTGGGCTCACCACTGTGCGTTTCATATGCAGGAAGGTCGATAGACTTGCCGGAACCCAGGGTAAGGTGAGGGAAGGCGGCTCAACATTTCTGGAAGGGTTGGGCCCTTAGGTGGCAGGGGTGGGGCTGGGACAGCCAGCCCTCAGCACCACCAGGAGCATACCAGGTCCCCTCCTAATGCTCTAGTGCTCTAGTGGATTTAAAGGCCACAATAGCAGTGGTGGCAACTAAATCACCAGGCCCTGGGGCAACTGACCCCTTTGCCCTGCCCTCCATTGGTGGGCCTATTCATATGTGGATCAAAGCAGGCATATCACTCAACAGCTGCTGTAAAGCAATGCCATTTATTCTGTAACCCATATCAGGAAGAGGGGATATTTTGTAGCCTTAAGAGTGTTGTGAGGGAAAAATTACAGGCCCATAAAACTTTTTTTAAGGTGTCAGCAAACAGGATTCCCCCTCCTGAGTCCGGGACAGTGGCCTAAAGCATACCAGCTTGTAGAATGATAACCACCAGGATGATAACCCTGAGGTGAACCTCTCCCATGTGTTCCATTCCATCTGCCATGGGGACACCTCCCTCTAGAGCTTTCATAATTAGCTACTGGATGGCTCATCATGATGAGTGCCCAGTGCCAATATAACCTATGTACAACCACCAGTGTGACCCAAGAATGTTCCACATAAAGAGGAAAATATCTTAAGGCTGGAAAAGAATGAAGGGTCAAATCTTCAGCTGGAGTAAATAAGCATAACACCTCTGAGGCCAATGGAGCTATTCGCATTTACACCAACTGAGGCTTTAACGTGCCAAAGTCTTCAAAGTAATGTACCACCACATTAGTACTGAAGACAAGTGCAGTAAGCCTTGAGTTCTTTACATTGTTAAGTTCAATTGCTTACCATCATACTGTTTACAGACAGAGAAGTAGGTTTCATTACAAGATGCTGTCTTCCAGGTTTCATCAAGGTCTAGATAGACACAGGCTATTTTTAATTTTGGCTCCCCTGTTGCCCATTTAGTAAATTTGATTATCCAGTTATCAGTCCATTTATAATGGCCGTCCATCTAAACCCAATATAAATTAAGATAATATAAATAGCAGTTCAAATGAACTAATATATTGTCTGACTTGCACTGAAGTTAGTTATTTGAGTTTTTCATTGGAAATACTCTATGTATTTTTTATAACACCTCACATATCAGAACAGTGAATTAATGCCTGACACATGAGACATGAGGAAAGTGATACTTCTTTAGTTTTTGGGAAGCTAACAGTATTTACTTTGCACTGTAAATGTGCACAGCACAATCCAACATATGAACTGAGTTGAACAATGAGCATTACTTCCTTTAGTTTTCAGTGTACAGGAACAAGTAAGCACCACACAGAATGTAACAAGATAATAGATCATATAATTTGATTGTATATATAATGTGATTTATACATGGATATTTGCATTGGCAGGTGATCTATTTAAAGCAGCACAAACTAAAAACTGGGAAACAGTGTTATGTTCAATGGTGTGTCATGATATTAAATTATTCATTATTATTTTTCCCATTGAAGTAGTGGTGTCTTCCAAAGCTTGGTTAGAACTTGAGGTAAATGTGGGATCACTTCTCAGATAGTTATCAAGAGACACAATTATTGATTATTCAACCTTGCTAATTATCATTTCTTTAGATTATGATTTTAAGAAATTTTGGGGGTCAAAATTCCTCGTTCCATAACTTCAGATTTTAATGTGGCACCCCTTCCAAGTTTATATAGCTCTCCATCTACTGTTTCCCAGTAGAACTTTTACTATGGATCCTCCTATTCATCCCATGTGCTTTATGGGGTCTTTGAGGCACTCTCACAGGAATACTAGAAGTCCATGCGTCAGGTAAATTAGAAATATTGATCTGATGGCACCATTACAATAAAAGCAACTAATATTTACGCAAATAACACGAAAGCTTATTTTATATATAGTAATACAATAATATCCAACCCTTACCACATTGCTGTTAAGCCCAATCCATACAGGCTCTCCATACTTTAACATCTGTAACCATAAGAATAAATGGCTGCGAAGATCTAAAATACTAGCAAGTTCTGAAGATTTGTCCTTGCAGGTTTTTCTTGCCTCTTCCCATGTCATTCTGGAATGGGTGATTGCATAGCTACTGTCACCATAGTGGATAAAGCCAGAGGCTGGAATTGTTGTTGCAGAATGAAGTAATTCAGGGTCTGTAATAATTTTAAATAAATAAAAACAACCAAAAATCAGGTTGATGGATTTCACTTAACAATAAATGAAAAAAAATCAGTTAAAATTAAGGCTCACTCCACTCCATCCCTTCCTCCAAGATCCCACCTCCTCCTGCCACTTCCAGCCCCTGCCTCTTTCTGCTCCCACTCTGCCCTCACCCTATTCCTCTCCTATTCCTGAGTGTGCCACACCCTTGCCCTGTCTCTTCCTGTCCTTGCTCCTGTTCCTCCTCCTCAAGGCCCCTGCCTGCTGCTGAATGGCTGATCCTGGAGAAGCAGGAGAAAATGGTCAGAAGGGCTCGTCAGTGGCAGAGAAGTGCTGGGGGAAGGAGAAAAAGATGATCAATAGGGCTCACCAGTGGTGCTAAGCACTCACATTTTTTTCTGTGGATGCTCCAGATCTAGATCCCCCTAGAGTCAGCACCTATGCCCTTGGGGGATGTAGTTAAGCTGTTCTAAGCTCCAAGATAGACAGAACTAGATTCACAGATGAATTCCTCCGTCAAGCAACATACCACTTTTTGGCAAGGATGACTTACTGCAATGACAGGAAAACCCCTTCTGTAGCTGTAGTGAATAGCTACACTGAAGTGCTACACTGGCACCATGATAGGATTTTTAACAGATATAACTAGAGAGTGAAATCTTGGCTCCAGTGAATTATTCCGTTCCCTTCAATGGAGCAAGAGTTTCACTGAAGGTTTGGGGCTCTGTGCCATAGCAGGGGTATGCATTTGGATAGATGGATATTTGAGTTCATGCTTCTTTGCAATCATAAATAAAGAAGAATTATTGAATAGCTTCTTTCGAGGTAAGGGTACTGTGTAGTCACACCCTTAACATGAAGCTTTATATTACCATGGATGCAGAGCTGCACCACCTGAAAAGAAGGAATTTAGGAGGCCTCAGAGGGTCAGAATACCTTCCAATTGGTGATATTTCGCCCAGAAGTGAACCCATCAGCAAAGCTAAAAAGCCATCATTACTTTTCAATTATTATTATTTTTTAATTTAGAAAGTTGGTGAAATAGAACTCACTTGTATTCATTTGGCATATATAGTTTTTGTCATTTTCACAGTCTTCATCTGTCCATGTTCCTTCTTCCTTTGTCATAATGACACAGTCTTTCTAAGGGAAAAAAGGATACAAAATTAAGAAAAAATTATTAGCAAACAAATTCTCCTACTCCCTCATGTTCTGTAAACATGTGCATTACAAGACTCCAACATTTGAGTCTCAGTATTGCAATGTCAGTATTTCTATAGCTCCTCACAATTCTATTGTGGCTGGAACCTTCCCAAACTTTTGCAAACTCTTGCGAGTTCATGAATCCCAGGCAATGTTCCCTGGCATATAGAATCTGCTGCTGTTGATTATTTTAGAAGCAATATTAGCTCCTCGCCACTGCAATTAATGTATAAGACAGATGGCTGCAGCACACTTAACTTTGCTTGCCTCAGCTATTCCTCTCCACTCTTAACTGAAGGGGTCCTCCTAATTTTCAGCTTGCCAGAATAGAGATGGAATGAAGATATTATTAAATCTCCTCAGAAAGTTCCACACTCGTTAAATATCTTTCTCCTAAGAGTGCCCCTCTTTCTTAGCTATTATGGAGGCATGGTTATGGACTCATTACCTCTTTACAGCTTCTGAACTGTCTAATGCCAGAAGTAGTGGACTGCAAGAACTTACAAATAAAAATATTAATATGATTAGTTCACAGATGACTTACTCATAAGAAAAGAGGAAAATTAATAACAGTGTTATTTGTAAAGTATAATTCTATCAGCTGTAGTAGGAAAGAGTCCTGTAAGGATCAAGGGATAGACTAGATAGAATAGCTATTGAATGTTTATTTAGCTCCAATTTTTTATTATATAGAAAATAATTAAAATGCCTTTTCAGGAAAGAGAAGACAGTTGGAAACTTATTTTAGTAAAATTACATAGTAAAAATATTATTCTGTAGATGTGTTAAATGTGTACAACTGCACTAGGTGTTAACAAAATCACTATGGTGCCCCCAGGCTGTATAGCTGTTATCATATTGCAGTCATAACTGAAAGCTTTGCCAATAATTAAGTTGCACTGACATCTCATTAGAAAACCCTATTTTATGACTTTGCCAGAATTTAACCATTCTGGATGAAATTTTCTATAATGGTTGTCTGCCTCTGGCTGAGTATTTCTGGAAAGATTCAGCCAGGAACAGATCAACTGTTTCCAGAACTGATGCTAGATGTTAAAATAAAATCAGAAGCTTCAGGGGGTTGAGTTAGTCTGTACAGGGTAAACTTAAAAAAACAACAAATAATCTGGTAACACTTTAAAGACTAACAAAACATGTAGATGGTATCATGAGCTTTCATGGGCACAGCCCACTTCTTCAGATGACCAGAGTGTTGGATGTCCAGAATGAAAATAAATAGTGGTATGGCTACACTAGCTACCCTAGTTCGAACTAGGGTGGATAATGTAGTCATTCGAACTTGCAAATGAAGCCCAGTAGCTCGAACAACCTGCCCACGGCTACATGCGGCATGGGCTAGGTAGTTTGAATTAACTCTTAATTCAAACTACCGTTACTCCTCCTAAAATGAGGAGGGGTGAATAAGAAGAGGCACCTGCAAAATGGGAGGAGGGGTGAACAAGAAGAGGCACCTGGTAAAAAATATGCCTAGCTTGACCTGCTGCTCACAAACAGGGAGGAACTAGTAGGAGAAGTAGAGGTGGGTGACAACCTGAGAAGCAGTGATCATGACATGGTAGATTTCAGGATCCTGATCAAAGGAAGAAAGGAGAGTAGCAAAATACACACCCTGGACTTCAGAAAAGCAGATTTTGACTACTTCAGAGAACTGATGGGGAGTATTCCTTGGGATGCTTACAAGAAGGGGAAAGGAGTCCAGGAGAGCTGGCAGTATTTTAAAGAACCTTTACTGAAGACACAGGAAGAATCCATCCCAAAGTACAGCAAGAGAAGCAAATATGGGAAGAGACCAGATTGGCTTACCGGGGAACTCCTTGGTGAGCTTAAACACAAAAAGAAAGCTTACAAGAAGTGGAAACTTGGACAGATGACTTGGGAGGAGTATAAATACATTGCTCAAGAATGCAGGGAAATTATCAGGCGAAAGCACAATTGGAATTGCAGCTAGCAAGGGATGTGAAGGATAAAAAGAAAGGTTTCTACAAGCATGTTAGCAATAAGAAGGTGATCAGAGAGTATGTGGGGCCCTTACTAGATGAGGGAGGTAATGTAGTGACAGATGAAGTGGGAAAAGCTGAAGTACTCAATGCTTTCTTTGCCTCTGTCTTCACAGTCAAGATCATCTACCAGACAAATGCACTAGGCAACGCAGTATGAGAAGGAGGTAGACAGCCGTTGGTGGGGAAAGAACAAGTTAGTAACTATTTAGAAAAGCTAAACATACACAAATCCATGGATCTGGATTTAATGCATCCGAGAGTACTGAGGGAGTTGGCAAATGTCATTACGGAGCTTTTGCCCATTATCTTTGAAAATTCGTGGAGATTGGAAGAGATTCCGGATAATTGGAAAAAGGCAAATGTAGTGTCCATCTTTTAAAAAGAGAAGAAGGACAATCCAGGGAACTACAGACCAGTTAGTTTTACCTCAGTCCCCAGAAAAATCATGGAGGGGATCCTCAAGGAATCCATTCTGAAGCACTTGAAAGAGGGGAAAGTGATCAGAAATAGGCAACATGGATTCACAAAGGGTAAGTCATTCCTAACCAATCTGTTTAGCTTCTATGATGAGGTAACTGGCTCTGTGGCTATGGGAAAGTCAATGGATGTGATATATCTTGACTTTAGCAAAGCTTTTGATATGGTCTCCCACAATATTCTTGTCAGCAAACTAAGGAAATATGGATTGGATAAATAGACTTTAAGATGGATAGAAAGCTGGCTAGACTGTCAAGCCCAACAGGTAGTGATCAAGGGCTCGATGTCAGGTTGGCAGTCGATTTCTAGCGAATTGCCCGAAGGATCTGTTCTAGGACCGGTTGTGTTCAACATCTTTATTAATGACCTGGATGAGAGGATAGATTGCACCCTCAGCAAGTATGCAGATGACACTAAGCTAAGAGAGGTAGATACACTGGAAAGCAGGGATAGGGTCCAGAGTGACCTAGACACATTGGAGGATTGGGCCAAAAGAAATCTGATGAGATTCAACAATGACACGTGTAGAGTCCTGCACTTGGGATGGAAGAATCCCAAGCATTGTTACAGGCTAGGGACCAACTAGCTAAGTAGCAGTTCTGCAGAAAAGGACCTGGGGATGACAGTGGATGAGAAGCTGGATATGAGTCAACAGTGTGCCCCTGTACCCAAAAAGGCTAATGGCATATTAAGTTGCATTCGGAGGAGCACTGCCAACAGATCTAGAGATGTGTTTATTCCCCTTTATTTGGTTCTGGTGAGGCCACATCTGGAATATTGTGTCCAGTTCTTGGCCCCTCACTATAAAAAGGATGTGGACAGATTGGAGAGGGTCCAGGGGAGGGCGACCAGAATGATTAGGGAGCTGGAGCACATGAGCTATGAGGAGAGACTGAGGGATTTGGGTTTTTTTTGTCTGCAGAAGTGAAGAGTGAGGGAGGATTTGATAACAGCCTTCAACTTCCGGAAGGGAGGTTCCAAAGAGGCTGGAGAAAGGCTGTTTACAGTAGTGACGGATGGCAGAACAAGGAGCAATGGTCTCAAGTTACAGTGGGGGAGGTCTAGGTTGGATATTAGGAAAAACTATTTCACTAGGAGGGTGGGGAAGCACTGGAATGGGTTACCTAGGCAGATGGTGGAATCTCTATCCTTAGAGGTTTTTAAGTCTCGGCTTGACAAAGCCCTGGCTGGGTTGATTTAGTTGGGATTGGTCCTGCCTTGGCAGGGGGCTGGACTTGATGACCTCCTGAGATCTCTTCCAGCTCTATGATTCTATGATTCTAAGATAGTACAGTTACACTTCTACAATCATTCATGGCTACTTAATGATGATTTACCTCCTGATAATCCTCATCACCACCAGCAGAATTACCATAATCAAAATAATAGTGAGAGTAGGTGCGTCTGTAGGTAGGTGCACCATTGGCCCAGTTTGTATAAGAGACACCACTTCCATCCGTCCATAGAAATGACAACTCACTATTTATATCATTCAATCCAATCCACGTATCAGTCATGACTTCTTTTAAATGGTAGAAGAGGAAGGCTAAAAAGAAGCAAGTATTTTAAATGAACAGAAACTCAGCATGGTTTTCTCCAGACAGAATAAATGAACATTTGTCCACAACTAAGGTCATGGTAAAAACATTTCTCTGCAAAAATCCCACCTGCTTGAAAGTAAGGGCAGGTCTACACTATCACTTAAAGTCATTTAAATTGTACAACTTAAGGGTGTGAAAAATCACCTTCCTGAGCCATACAAGTTAGAGCAACCTAAGCACTGTCTACACCAGGGTTAGGTGGCAGATAACACTGTCCCATTGACATTTCTCTACCTCCATGAGAGGTGGAAACAATTTTTGCTAAAAGGAGAGTAGTTCTCCCATCAGCACAAAGCATCCTCAACAGAATCTCTACAGTGGCACAGCTGCATTGGTGCAGCTGAGCCAATGTCCCACTTCTAGTGTAGACTTGCCCTAAATGGGGGGAGGGTCTGAGATCCCTGACCTGGCGTGAGCCAGGACTGAACCGGGCTGCCTGCTCACCTGGCTCCTGATACACTTTAAATGTAGAGCTGCTGCAGGATAGTTCCCAGATCTAGTACAAGCTGGAACTGAGCTAAGCTTCTGGTCAGCCTGCTAAACAATTTACAGGCAAAGGGTGGGGAAAATGTGTGTAGTCTATAGCATTAAATGATATGCTTTGTTTATCGGTTAATCGGTTAATCAACTACACTATTACATCCCTAATCTGTATGTATTATTAAAGGCTGTATCGTAATGCAGGCACACACGGGAGCCAAATTAAGATCAGTAGATTTCAAGTTCAGAAATCTACTGATCTTAATTTAAATCTATATCTTAAATCTATATCATGATCATGTAATCTGAATTCAGGCAATCTTACTTTTGACATTTCCTAACTTCTGTTTTTTGTATGTAATAATGGATATAAACTCTCACGTCAGGGAAAAGCCAACCGATAATTGATGGGATTAGGAAGTGATTTCCTGGTGGGAGGATTATTCTGTAACCATACAGTGAGGTTTCTGGCACTTTCCTCTGATGTTTCTGATACTGGGGCAGTCTCAGAAACAGGACACAGGATTAGCTGGTTTAATCTGATGTGTCAGTTTTTAGGTTCCTAGAATCCCAAGGTCCATTTCTTATCAAACTACAATTTTTGTTACATTTATACAATGGGCAAAAAATAGTAGAATGTATAACTACAGTTTTACATTTTTGCCTTCATTTGTAATTGTTGAATGGAAATTGGTTAATGTTTAAGTAGAAGGGTTCACACATTATACCTTGGACTTCTTTATTTGGTATGGAAGCCAGGTTTCCTCCCAAACTGATACAAGCCATTCGTGCAGCATGCCACATCAATGTCTCATTTTCATTGGCGCCAAATATTTTGTAACACTGGAAAAGAAAAGAATCAACTGAATATTTCATTCCAGGCTGCAAACCAAATGGAAGTTGTTATATGTGTATCAGACTAATTACTCGTGTGTTAATCATCTTCCCATAGAAAGAAAGCAAGGATGGGAAGACTAGCAAAGTTTTAGGATCTGTAATTTCAACTTTGCCAAACATGGGCTGAAAAATTGTGAATTGTAACAACTTAGAGGTTTGCTGTTAATGTACATCTTGTCCCACTATGACAGATTTTGTTACAGTGAGAATATGCAGATTTTGTTACAGTGCTTTTCATAGGAGAAATTATTGCTTTCCATCTACTGTATGAAAACAATACAATAGAATAAAACAGACATGATATTGATTACTTTTCCACATGAAAAGCCTAAATCTGGTGAGTTCTAGTGAAACTGAAGCCAATCCTCATCCATTTCTGCAGATCTTAAGAGCCTTCTTCTGTCACATTATAGTTCTATCCTACAGATTATACCTCCCTCAACCAGGACTCCCTGGTCTGCAACATCTGTGGTCTGGCATGGACGGATGTTCCTGGATCACAGAGCCCAGGAACAGGGAGGTCTGGCGGCAGGGTAGGAGCACCATAGGGGGAACCGGCATCTCAGCTGGGAGCCCAGTGTGTGGGGGAGGGGGGAGGAGGAGACAGACGGCACTGCAGGAAGTTCTGGCCCCAGTGGCTGCCAGGGAACTCCAGCCCCAGCAGCAGCCAGGGAGCTCTGACCCTGGCCATGGACCTCTCGCCTCAGCCTCATTCTGGTTCCAGCGGTCAGGGAGCTCCAGCCCCAACTCCAGTGACAACCAGGGAGCACTGGCCTCCAGCTGTGGAGCTCCGGCCCCAGCCCTGACTGCACAGCTCCAGTCCCAGCCTTGGAGCCAGACTGCTGTGGAGTTCCCGTCCTGGCTGTGGATCCAGGTGGCTGTGGAGCTCCGGCCCGGGCCATGGAGCTGCAGCCCCAGCCCGAGCCAGGTGGTTGTGGAGCTCTGCCCCAGCCATGGCACTCTAGCCCCGGCTGCTGTAGGGCTGGTGGCATCTAGAGAGACCCAGAGCGATGGGGCAGCAGTGGGGGAAGGTTGGTACCCTAACCCAGTGACGGCATGGGCCAGGAGGGGAGGACCTCCCTTGGTCCGGCAAATCCCCTCATTCGGGACCTGACAGGTCCCGAGAATGCCGGACCAGCAAGGTCCAACCTGTAGTGTTTTATAAAATTTAAATTATTCTGAAGCTAAAACAGTACAAATAATAAATGCTAGAAGTTCCATTATCAATTGTTTTTATTTTGGCAGTCAAATTAGAAAAAAGCATCAATGGGGGTTGTATTTTGTAACCATAAATATATAATATTTACTAGGCAAACTAAATTAACAGGAAGGTATTGGTGGCATTCCCTGACTAGATGGATAGCAATTTCCTGTACTCTTCTATGGCACGTATTTCTCTTGGTATAGCTAGTCTTCCCATATTCCTCTTGTCTGGCAGCTTTTATTTGGGCTATGCAAGGTGTGTATGTGTACATACTGCCATTGCTCACACAGTAACTTGCATAAGCCAGGAAACCAGATGAAGATAATGATGATGGTGATGGGCATGTGCTATGTTAGGTCTCGCTGTGTTTGTTGATAGTGGGAATATACAAGACACTTTAAGTTACAGATATGTAGAAATTTTGGGGGAAAGGATACTTGGGGTGCAGGTAGAGGATTAGAAGAGATAGGTGATGTGAAATAGGGGAATGAGGAAAGAGAAGTAAACTGAAGGAGAAGAAGATAGTTAGGGAACAGGAATAAGAGGAATGGGGAGAATGAAGAAAATGGAGAACTAAAGGATTGCAGGGTTAGGAGACGAGTGAAATGAAGTGAGACCAACCACCACAATACTTAGATAGCCATATTTATGTTCAGCACAACACTGCAGTGTTTGATTCTAGCTAGAATCATTAGTCTATGATTCAGATTATTGATTACCAAATTTCTTTCCTTTAGTGATGGTGGCTTGAACTAGGGTTTTATAAGGTTGATGATGGTGCAGGAATGGCTTGTGTAATTAAATAGCTATTGGACCAACGTCTGATGTGAAACAGGGTTTTGAGCAGACACAAAGCTCTTCCTGTTCTTCAGCCCTGAAGAAGAGCTCTCTGATGTGTGAAATGTAACCCTGCTGGGTGTGGTGCACTGTCCCACCTTAGTAGTACCAAGACCACTTTAAGAGAGAAGAATGAGTCTGCTCTACAGCCTTAGCTAAGAGCCAGCAGGCTTTTAGCTGGTGTGGTAGAGGCTCATGCACTAAGCTCCACAAGTCCTAGGTTCAATTCCATCTGTCATTGTTATAAAAGCCTATGGCTTTCATCAATGGAAGTTGGTCCAATAAAATGCCATTGCCTCATCTACCTTATCTAATAGCCTGGGCCCAACATGGCTCCAATGCTGCACAATAACAGCTAGAAACATTCAGGCTGTCTCTAGACTGGCCAGCTTTTCCAGAAAATCAGCCGCTTTCCTGGAAAAACTTGCCAGCTGTCTACACTGGCCGCTTGAATTTCCGCAAAAGCACTGATTTCCTACTGTAAGAAATCAGTGCTTCTTGCGGAAATACTATGCTGCTCCCGTTCGGGCAAAAGTCCTTTTGTACAAAAGGGCCAGTATAGACAGCTCAGATTTGTTTTCCGCAAAAAAGCTCCGATCACGAAAATGGCGATCGGGGCTTTTTTGCGGAAAAGCACATCTAGATTGGCACGGATGCTTTTCCGCAAAAAGTGCTTTTGCAGAAAAGTGTCCGTGCTAATCTAGACGCTTTTTTCCGAAAATGCTTTTAACGGAAAATTTTTCCGTTAAAAGCATTTGCAGAAAATTGCCAGTCTAGACGTAGCCATATATTGGTAGTTTTATTCCTTGTCAGAGATGTATTGTTGCTTTTGAGAAAATAATTAGTTGTTGTACAATATTATGAGGAGAAGACCAAATATTATAGTCTTGTTGCCAAGAATATTGGCCTCCAAATGCATCAATTCCATGTAATTATTTAATAGCCCTCATGAATAACTGGAAATTATGTGTATGTTGTTGGGGGAGGGAAGAAGATAACAAACTAATATCTGTTCTATCTTATCTTTAGAATGCAGTCATATTCAATCTCCATTTTAAATTATGTGGCACTCTGGTAGAAATGAAAGCTCATACTTTGGAGCAAGGAGTGAATACCATGACTAATTGTGTGACTGTGGAACACGCATGATCCTGGCTTTATTTGCTCCCTACCTGTCAGGTAATAAAATATCAACAAAAACACTATGAAATATAAGACAGTGTCTAGTGTCACAACTATGGAATAAATTAAAATCAAACACAATGATCACTACTTGATCTTTCTGCCCCTTTCACATTTCCTTCCCCTGGCTTTACCACTCTCAGTGTTTATCTAGACTGCAAGCTTCTTTTGAAAGAAGCTTTTTAAGAGTTCTTCTGAAAAAACTTCTTCCGAAAGACAGCGTCTACACAGCAAAAGCACATTGAAAAAGCTATCTGCTTTTTCGAAAGATAGCGTCCACACTGAATGGATGCTATTTCACATTTAAGCTGTAATTACTATGGATGAAGTGGCCACCTGTGCTTTTTTCTGGAAGCCTCTTCTTTCAAAAAAACTCCCTTTTCCACAGCCACACATGCCTTTTTCTGAAAGAGCTCTTTCAGAAAAGGCATTCTTCCTCATAGAATGAGGTTTACCGATGTTGGAAAAACCCCTCTGTTCTTTCAATTTTCTTTTTATTTTCTTTCAAAAGACTACAATAGCAGTGTGGACGTAAGTGCAGTTTTTTCAGAAAAACGGCTGTTTTTCCGAAAAAACCCATAGTCTAGACACAGCCTCAATGAAAGTGAAATTGGGAAAAGAGAAAAATGGGTGGTAAATATTGGGTGTATATGTTGCTCTACAGTTATAGTCATTCAGCTGCACACACTGATCTCAAATGTTTCTCATGCTCCCACTTGTGACTTTCTAGTGATAACTCATGCTCCTGAACTATCTGCATTTTCACAGAGCTCATCACCTAACATTTTCAGAATACAAGAGTAATACAGGGTTTGTAAAGTAACAGCAGCAATTGTATTTAAGTGGAAAGAAAACAGAACATAAGAATGGACACAGTGGCTGCATCTAGACTGGCATGATTTTGCGCAAATACTTTTAACGGAAAAGTTTTTCCATTAAAAGTATTTGCACAAGAGATTGTCTATACTGGCATGTGCCTTAGTGCAAAAGATTTGCTTGTGTGCAAAAGCATCCATGCCAGTATAGATGCTCTCTTGTGCAAGAAAGCTCTGATGGCCATTTTAGACATCGGGCTTTCTTGCGCAAGAAATTAACGTTGCTGTCTACACTGGCACTCTTGCGCAAGAATATGTGCACAAGAGGGCTTATCCCTGAGCAGGAGCATCAGAGTATTAGCACAAGAACCACTGATTTTGTACATTACAAAGTCAGTGTAGCCAGGCAGCAAGATTTTGCACAAAGGCGGCCACTTTTGCGCAAAATCATGCCAGTTTAGACGCAGCCAGTGAGTCAGACCAAAGGTCCATCTAAAGCAATATCCCATCTTCCAATAGTGGACAACTCCCAGAGGGGAATAAACAGAACAATTGATCATCAAGTGATTCTGCTCCTGTTACCAATATTCAGAAGTACAAATAGAAGCAAAGAACACCATCCCAAGAATCTCTCTCAATCACCAAAGATAAATTTCTAGCCAATGCTATGCATAAACCTATACTGAAACATGCTAGCATTTTTCCTGTTTCATTCTGAATCCAGACATTTGGAAAGCTTCATGGAGATTTTATAGATATAGATATATAAACATTAAAAATATTTTTTCTAATTTATACTAGATAAGAGGACAAAACGAGGCATCCCATGACATTTTTGAGACTGGGGATATGTCTACACTAGCTCGTTAGTTCGAGCTAGGTAGGGTAATTAGGGCAAGTGGAGTTGCAAATGAGGAGTAACGGTAGTTCGAATTAGGATCTTTAGTTCGAACTACCTACTCCGTGCCGTGTGTAGCCGCAGGCACGGAGTTCGGACTAAGGGGGATTTAAAAATGGCGGCGCCCGGGAACAGCCTGGGATATTTAAATCCCGGACTTCATTTGCAACTTCGAATGCCTACATTAGCCTCCCTAGTTCGAACTGGGAGCTAGTGTAGACATACCCTGGCAGATTTATAAGGGCATAAGTTTTCATGGATTTTACCCACAAAAGCTTATGCTCTCATAAATCTGTTAGTTTCTTAGGGTATGGCTACACTATGGGACAAGGTCAAATTAAGATAAGCAACTTCAGTTATGTTAATTGCATAGCTGAAGTCGAAGTACCTTAACTCGATTTCTGGCACTGTCCACTCCACACTGCAGGAAGTCAAAGGGAGAACACTCTTCCTTTGACTTCCCGTTCTCCTCATGGAATCAGGACTACCAGCATAGATTGGAGTGCCCCTGTCAGTTCAAAATAGCTGTCTTCACTAGACCCTTTCACCCAAATCCTGGAGGATTGACAGCGGCATGTGCCATGTGTCTCCTTTTTGTTTTTTCAGGTACAGACTAACACATCCACCCGTCTGTGGTTAAGAGGACTGTTTTATGTTATTTTTCAAGTACACCACTGATAATTTCAATTGCTAAAATGGACATAAACCACTAGAGGTGAGGGGAGCAGAAGAACGGAGAAAGTAAAAGTTATATCAGCAAAAACCTGACGAGTTCTTTTGTCTTAAGTAATTCAACCTACCGACTTATTTCTTGAGAGTTTAAATTAGTATAATATCTCCAAAATGGCCCAACCTTCCAAACAGCATGCAGATTTAAATAATCACTGTCCAATGTAATATTATAACCATAAAAAGATGTTCTTTGTTCACCAACTCTGCCAAATACAATTTACTGAAAATATGTGTTACATACCTTATTATTAAACAAAAGCCAAGTTTCTGGACAGCCTCCTAGAGGTTCAGGAGCAAATGTTGTGTTAATAGTACTGTTGCGCCTTTCACAGATAAAACGGCTTGGATATCCACAATTTATGTCATTCCAGAAGCCTGAAAAAAATTAAATATAGTAAGTAAATGAGGCTGTGTCTAGACTACATGCCTCTGTCAGCAGAGGCATGTAGATTAGACACATAGGCAAAGGCAAATGAAGCCGCGATTTAAATGATCACGGCTTCATTTACATTTACATGGCTGCCGCGCTGAGCCGACAAACAGCT